CCTGCGGGGACACGGCGGCCGCCAGGCCCCGTCACGGCCCCCGCTCCCGCCCCCGGCCCGGCCCGCGCCCCCGGGGCACCCCGCACTTGCCTGCACCAGGAGGAGGAGTAGGAGGAGGAAGAGCAGGGGCAGGCGCTGCCCGCCGCCCGCCAGCATTGTCCTGGCCGCCGCTCGCCGCTGCCGCCAGGGCCATTGCGGCCGCTTATATAGAACCGGCCTGGGAGGGCAGCGCGGCCCGGGGGCGGGGAGCTGGAGCCGGGGCTGGAGCTGGAGCCGGAGCCGAGGCTGGAGCCGGGGCTGGCGCCGGGCCGCGGCCCCGCCAYCTGCCCGGGCAGCGCCGAGCCCGCTCCGCCAGCCCGCCCCAGCGACAGCGACAACGACAGCGACAGCGACAGCGCCGGCGGGGCCGCCCCGTCCGCGCGTGGCACGAGGTTCCCCCGGGACAGCCCAGGCTCCCCACTCGGGGCAGCCTGTGGTACCCCCCGGGGCATCCTGCGCTCCTGTGCCCTCCTGACCCATGACTGGTGGTTGCTCACCAGAGTTGTGACAGGTGATTCGGGATTGCCTGCAATGCAAATGTTGGACCTACACTGTGATTTATAAATCTGGCTAAAACAAACACTACCTCCCTGTTGTAGCTACCTGCAAGGAGTAGACAAAGTCCAGTTCCGGACTACCACGATTGCCCTCCATCCAGTGTAAGCACTGCTATGGGGCCTGAGTAGCTCTCAGCCTTGGTGTTTCACTTCTTAAGCTTTTTGACCATCTGTTAACACATGGCACTGTGGAAATGACACATTCTCTTCATAAACTCTTCAACTGCCAGGTTGTAAGTGCCATTCTCAGCAGAGAGGTCCAGGTGTATCAGCCTGTTGGAAATGGGAATTTCACAGAGAACCCCGAACCACCAGCAGCATCGGTGTTTGGTTTGTGTGTGAGACCGTGAAGCATGCAGAGCCCAACGTGTCAAGCCTTAGGAATGYTTTAGAGACCTAACTCCAGTGCTGTGGGCCATGAAGTTATTTTAGAGCATGCAGGACTAATCTGGGCCAAGCATAAAGGAGACAAAATCTATTAACATGCTTTACTTGTCAGGAATTGTTTTCTGCCCAAGGCCTTTTTGGGTCTTTCTAGGATACAGTTATTCCATGTCCCAGTTGACTGAAGCAGATAATGTGCACTGGACTCTGCTGTGGCTTGTTAAAGTATTTGAAAAATAAACAAGAGTTGAAGACAGACTAGTGAAAACAGGATGCCTTTTAAGCTTAAGACATGACACAAGTGGTACTCATGAGTTTGCAAGACTGCTGTAGCTCCAAGCCAAAGCAGTGCTCAGCATGAAAACAGCAGTCATCACAGTTGGGTTTTGCTTTGGACAAAAGTCATAGAATCATAGAATGTCGAAGGTTGGAAGGGACCTCAGAGGTCATCGAGTCCAACCCCCC